GATGATAATTGGTAATTTATAAATTTTTATTATAAATTGGCAAATTGTGGATTCATTTAACAATAAGCGATGATAAATACGCGAATTTGTAATTAAATGGGAGAGAAACTTGGATGACTTTCCGATGATACTTGATAATTTATAAATTTTTATTATAAATTGGCAAATTGTGGATTCATCTAACAATAAGCGATGATAAATACGCGAATTTGTAATTAAATAGGAGAGAGACTTGGATGACTTTTCGATGATATTTGGTAATTTATAAATCTTTGTTATAAATTGGTAGACCGTGGATTCGTCTAATTTCGAACGATATTAATTTTCCCACGCGAAAGGAAAAATTTGTGCACCTGTGCTATAGGAAATGCGAGGTGATAAATAAGTGTCCCGCGATATACAAACTTTTGCGTGAAAAACGATTTATGCGAAATAGCAACGACGTTATCGTGAACCAATTTGTTTTAATTAGATCGATATGATACCGATATAATACTATGCTATTAGCAATTCCTCTGAGCTATTCCGCGATATAATTAATCACTTATCGTTATCGCCGATCGCTTCACACGTTGAACGGCGTTCCCTGTCGAACAATGTTACGTATTACGTGGAGTAAATAAATGCATGAATAAGACAATATAATGCATGAAAGACGAAGCGTAATTCTCTTTAACGAGCACGTGCCTCACGAACATATGCCCATTCGCGAGCCATAATGCTTATACGTATACGTAATGGCTGGCCGCGTGCATTCCTTCTCGCGTTGACCCTCGTCACACATATGAATCATAAATCATAACCATGTTATATCGCGGATTTGCAAACAGCCTCGTATTCGTCGAAGACGTCGTTGGTCCTTTACAAATTTACAGCTCTATTGAGGCGTCCCGAGTGACGTGTTGCCATATTTTCTTAGACAACGGTTCAATATGATATATTTGACGAACTCTGCCTATAAGAGCCGGCTATCCTACGGATTGAGAGAGAAACTCGATTAACTGGCGAGTTACGAGTCATCGAAATCGCCTCGTTCGATTTTTACCAACCGATTTTCTGCAAATTTCGCAATTCGCCGATTTTCTTCCTTCGCCACATAGTCGATATTTTTATTTCCTATACTACTGTGTTACTGTATAATTCGTTTGTCACATGGTCGATTTTTATTTCCTTATTTTTATAATTATGTAAAAATTACTTTGTTGCAAATTTTTACTTCGATTTACTATAATTTTCTATATTACTTGCAAAATTTATAAATTAAATCTGTTAATTTATTATTTAGAGATATTAACAGATATTTTATTTGGTAATATATAGTAATTTGAACTATGAAAATATAAATGTTCTTAAAAAATATCTCGAATTTTTAGGAAAATGTTAAAAATGCCCGACATTTCGCGGATATTTTTTTGCGTTTATTGCTAATTATTTTAGAAATAAATTTAATCGACCTGTGTAATTACGAACATTTAAAACTGGAATTAATAGCGGAACGAAGGATTTTAAGAGGAGTATCTCGATTTCCGCGGGTGGTTGAAGATTCATGGCAGTCTATTCCGAGAATTGCACGTGTTAATCGGTTCCTCTGAAAGGAAGAGTAATGCAAACATCGCTGAACGGTCTTTATAAACATTTCTTTCGTCGATTTTTCCGCCGTGTAACGCTTGTTATTACATAATTACGTACACCGTGAATGATTCGCCTTAAATGTCAAAGGCAACGAGGCGCTACGATTTACCGTATCGTTTGATACGTAATGGCTAAGAAACAGAACGTAATGTTATGCAACGCCTTGCACGAGGGTCATTGGTCATTCAACCTGGCGTAGCATTGACACAATGTAGGTGATTGAAGTACGGAAACGTGCTCGTACCGACATGATTACCTTGATATCTCTTTACCGTGTACAGATGTCTTACGAAACGACACACGAAATGTAGTACGTGATTTAAGAAACGTACCCTTTCACGTTTGCCAATCCTCCTCATTGACAACTTCTCTTGCAATACTCCCGGAGATTGTTACTCTGCGAGTATCACTGTTACCACTATACCGCAACTTATAATTCGAATATAAAAATTCGAAGTCGGTCGAATATGAAAATAAAGTCGAATATGAAAATTTATATTCGATCTTCTTCGTTGAAAAATATTTACAATTACTTTTTATAATAATTATTAATAATAATTATTAATAATTCGAACATGAGAGAATTATTAAATCCCATAAAAATCGGAGTAATAATTTTTAACACGACTAATATATATTCTTTGAGAGATCCATGATTGAAAATTCGAAGGAAAATTTTTCTATTCTAATGATAATAATGATAATAATCAACCAAGTACAGACGATGTTAAGTATTAAAAAATCAGGATAACGATAATTAAGGATGGATTAGCATGAAAGCAGCACGAAAGCTCGGCCTGTAGTAGAGGAAGACGTTGTTTTCGACATCTCCCATACACGCGTTCCCATATATTTTTCTAATAAAGATGCAGCGCTGTATTCTCATTAGTATAATGTTCTCGGTACTACAATTTGCGTAATGTGTCTTAATAAATTCAATTGCTCCCGCTAAGCAGATGTCTCTCAGCGTATAACAATGTAACGCTGGCAAGCGTGTAACAGGCAATGAGATCCAGCATCGAGCAGACTTTCATATAAAAGTACGCACGTAGCCTAAGCATCGTGTCTAACAACAAGGATCGCATTACGGAGCGTGAATCACTTAATATTAATCTAGTACAGCCACGTGGTACGGCCAACACAGACTACAACTACACACGCGAGTGATACGATGATTGCTCCGATCGTGGCTTACACGTGCACTAGGAACCCTAGACCAGACAAAGAATGTACGTCCGCCATTTTGTACGTCAGACGTCCGGCAGACAAACAAATATACCTCATATGATGCGAGGGAATAATTGATATTCAACCGTGGCCAGTGAAGATCCGTGTAAAGTATCGCACGATTCACTTGGACCTTTGTTCTTCATCTTTTAACGATAATTCGACACGACTTTCTCGAAATGGATGTTATTTTACGTAATGGAATTTTTAGACTTATTTTATTCAATCGGTGATAGATATTCTTCGTTGCTTTCTAACGAGACAATTTGGAATTATTTGGAATAACAGGAAGGGAAGTTAGCCTACTCGAAATTCCAATCGAGGGAAACATTGAGAGCAGGAGAGAAATTTTGGATTATTTCAAATTAGTACAGATATGAACTTGAGGAAGTTTTACAATAAAGTATGGAATATATGAAAGATCCAAAAATGGCCTCTTCACCTACGTTTCTATATACCTAAATATCTAATTACATCGTTGAGATTAAAGACGTGAGTCTCCTAATAGAAGTTAGGAAAACTTGGAACAAAATATAAAATACACGAAAAACTCGAAAAAGACATCTCTTCGTCTATATTTGAATTTTCAGTAATCTATTTTCAAAAATATTCATACAAATCTTAAAATATCTAGTTACATCTTCAACGCCAAAGACACAGGCCTAAATGAAGTTTGGCCCCCTGGCGGAGAAACGAATTAGGCAAGACAACCGTGTAGTCCCAACAGCATCTAAATATGAGCCGTTCACTGCACAAATCGATCAACTCCACTTTTTGAAAAGTCTTAAATATAAAAAGTTACCTCTATACCAAGTGCTTGACACTTCAATTCAAGATTTTTCGAAAAACAGAGTTGATCGATTTGCGAAGTGAACGGCTCATACATACGCATATGAAAACACGTCTATGGATCTGGAAATTTGAAGATAAATTCTATGCTCCATCGTGGAACGATTATTTATCCGAAGGTGGACGGTCGATGCACGAATTGCGTAACGTTTCATCGGGTCGCGTACGCGTTGACGACTGGCAGGATGAAAAATGAGCAATACATTACACGATCCCCCCGTGAGAAGTGGGCCATTGACCCAAGTAGGTGTAACGACATATTATTGCAGTAATCGTGTCTGCGAACGAGTCACCGCACGAATCTACCGAGCGGACGAAGATAGAGCGCGTCTAATTCGACGATTGAACCTGTCTCTCGTTTCTGCCCCGTCACAGTAGCCTTCTACCACCAGCCAGTTCCTTTCAGTGCCATTCGTCATTATGTAACGTGCACGTTCCACGGCGATGCCTCGCGTTCGCGAAAATCAATCCACATCCGTGACTTTGCCTGCCACTCGATCTTCCGCGATGAGGTCAATCCGTTTGAGCTCTCAAGGTCTCGGTACAAGGAACGATCGTGAACTTGCGTCTCCCTGGGCGATCCCCGACTTCGTTTCCCGGGACACCTTGGCCCGATTGAAATTCTTTTTACCAAAGCTTTCTTAAATCGGCTGCGACCGGAGGCTAAACGCTGTCAAACTTGAACTACGACCCGGGACAGCTTGCTCGCGAACGGTATCCACTGCTGGGAATTATCTCTGCGTGGAAAAAGTGCCAGTTCCGACGTTTGAATTGCGTCATCGTTCAGTTCCGCGAGACGAGAAGACGGGGAAAAAATACAGGCACAGTTATGCAAACGAAAATGATTCGCTAGCACTGTGTAATCCATACAAGTGTCTTCGAGAGAGACGTCTCGTCGGCGTATGTCATATCTGAGACTCGTCTGACAGATGCCAAGATCCTAGACCCAACAAAATCATCCTATCTGTCAAACCAGACCCATCGATTGTCACTTTTGATCCTTATTGGCAGGCTGTCCTGTCGCTCGAAGAGCATCGAAGCTACTGTTACCTCATGTTTATTACATAATATTTCACATCCCCGACTAACACACGGGACCAACGAAATTCGCGTACGACGTGAAAATAGCGACGCAAAGTCCTATTTTCGCGACAGCTGTTGGCACCTCGGTCAACGACCGTCAACGCGTCGATCAGCCGAAAAGTTTCCATTCACCGTTCCTCAGCGATCATATCTCGAACAGTGTAACAACCCCAGTTCTAATCTCACCTTTTTCTCTTTTCGTTTCACAGAGAACGCAGACTGTACAACGATTCGCTGCCGCGAGGGGCAGACGTGTCTGTCGGAGATGAAGTCAGGCCGGCCACGTTGCGTGACCTGTACCTATCGTTGTCCCCGGAAGCGGGAACGCGTCCGGAACCGGACACACCGTGATCGCGACCCATCGGCGACCATGTTGTGCGCCACCAACAATATCACCTATCCGAGCTGGTGTCACATCGTCAAGGACGCCTGCGTTACAGGCTTCGTCCTCGAGACGCGACACGCCGGCCCCTGCAACGCCTACGATACCTCTCCTCTCTATATCGGTAAGTCCTCCACACGCGATTACGTAGATAACACGCGCTTGCTGGTCAATGAATACGATTGCTGGCCCGTGGCTGTTCCAAGTGCTCGAGTAGTCTTGCTCGATGCTTCGCGATTATCGCAAGACTCCTCGACCGCCATGTTTTTCGCCATTTTCCCATTGTACTTCGCACGGTTACCGGCCAGCTTTGGGCCTTACGATCTTTCGGAGATTACGAGTTAGTGGGTCTGACAGTGGAATTAGTGGCTAGACATAGGTCGCTGGGTCTCTGGGATCGTGGATAATGATTTTTGGTCATTCCCACGATTGATTTTGGGAAATAATTTTATACGAAATAGTATGGATTCTGGGGTTTATTCGTTTTCTAACGCGTTGACTGCTACGAGCAAATTTGTATTACTCTTAGGAAATAAATAACGAATTATTAATGTGCTATATTCAAAAAATGATTGAAATACGGGAAGTATAAGTTTAAAAGACTAGTATCGTCTGGTGGCCATTGTGACCATTGTGGCAGTCGACGTATGGAGATTCTTTTCTGGTAGGCACGTTGGGTGAGATGTTGTTACAAAATGGCAACCACTGACGCTGTCTCGTTGCTTTGCATGATAATATTAGATGTATCGTCGCGAGATTACAGATGGTTTCTTTAAGATTCTCTTTGGAAGATTGTTTGTGGGTTTAGTGGATCTGAATGGGATTGGTGGATGGACGTAGGTAGAGGTTGCTAGGTAGTCTTTGATCGAATCGTGAGACGTGTTCGTTGGCACGAGCTGGGCTTGTGGGTAATGGTTTTTTGGCGACGATGACGGCGATTGGTTTGGGAAAATGGTCGTATGGGTTACGTCTGTGAAGTTTCGTTGGAATGAATGTATATCGAAGCACGCTTGGGCTAGATATGTTAGAGTATTAATACATTGGCAGCCGCAGACGCGAACTTACGTCATACACGATTCTCCTTCTGGCTGCCACTGAGGTAATTCTCGTCATTCACGATCTTCGCTATTGTCTCTACGAAACCTGACATTTTAAAATCAATTTTAAATCAATTTTTTCGGAAGTCAGTGGCAACCAGCTGTGGAATTTTCTTCATTCCAATTGGCTTTCGATATTAAATAGATGAACGAATTATAGATTACGGGTGTGTCGAGTAACAGGTATGCATAATTACGCATAAATCGAAGAACAATTGCGTGCAGAATGTTGCATATTGACAGTACAACTATCGACCTGTGATATAATGCTTACCCAAATACGTACACAATTACATAGGTATATAACAAGCGCCGAGATCGCACGTGTAATTATAATATATCTCTAACCGAATAAAAGTCAACATCAATTCCAAATCGAAAGTACATTGTCAGCACCGTGAAAACCATAAGCCTGGAACCAGTCGTAGGGATTGGTCTCGCAGTTGTAGCTTCGAAACAACGTTCTGCATGACCTGTTTTAATTTCAAAGATCAGCAAGGTCTGCGAAAGAGCAATATCATCGTCCTCGAATATTTCCACTTTGCAAAACATGTAAAACAGTAAGCAAATCAGTTCTAAAATAAACGTCGGTGCACCTTCTAGTTCGCTATCAATAACCAGATTGCCGATAAATTGCGCGAAATAAAATAACCAAAGTCAAGCACCTTCCAAGCATAACAACACAGAGCGAAACAAAATGGAGAAAAGGAATACGGAGTAATAAAATAACTGCGCGGCTAATAACGTTAAAACGGAGAGAAAAACGAGAAAAAGGAGAAGGAAAAATAGAGAAGAAAAGCAAAAGGATAAAAGAAGGAAAGAAAAAACTGAAACTCGGAGTATCGGCTCGTTTTTCATCGAGAGCCAGTCGGGAAGGCACCTCGGCGTACAGACAGTAACAGCGTGGCGGTCGACACTTCCATTCCGATTTCATTTCGCATTTAGCAAGGGATCGCCGATGTCGAGGGGCCGCGTTTCCCATGCCGTGATAAAGCGGAATACGCGTCTGGTCATTTATCTATTTCTCTCGGAGGCGTGGGCCATTCACGAGCCGTCTGCGAAGCAAGCGATCGTCGTAATCCAGCGTGGAATTCGCCTTGTTCGAGTCGCCTCTGAGAATATACGCGCCCACGCGCTCGCTTGTCTCGCCCGTTAAACACAGTCAATCGCGAAAACCCAGAGGAGAACTAGCCGTGGAATTCTAGAGTTCCGCTTGCGATGCCTCCTCGCGAGCAAGCGAGCGCACTAACGCGACTCTACCCCCTCCACCGCGCTTCCTACCGTTGCGTCGCGACGCGTCGCCGTCACGGGGACCCGCGGAGTCTCGACGAATTTTCATAGGAATTCCGAACGCGTTGCGTCCACTCTTTTCGTCTCCTTCGATGCTTCGCGTTGCATCGCTGATCTTTCAGCGCTTCGATGATTGCTTATGGAGAGTTTCGCCGGGCGTGAAATGAATTTCTGATGAGCTTTTTCGAGATCGCATCGGGCGTGCAGAGGTCTGAGATTATTAGTCGGCTCGAGAAGGGTTTTGCGCCAATGCTTCTTGCGACCTTCGGCACTCCGTGTGCGCGAGATTTCTCGTCCTTTTGCGAAAATAGGAAATGGACGATTACATAGTATTTCAACGCTGCAACTACCGGAATCGCTGAAAATACGCAATGGCGAAAAATCTGGGAATGTGTGTATCGTATCTGGGGAAAAATTACAGGTCGATAGTTGGACAATTTTCGAAAATTAATTGTTACGTTTCGTTTCATCGAGAAGAAATCGTGATAATTTATTGGAGAGAGAAATGAAAGGAGCTTTTGATACGATTCTTTCGTTTCTTTCGCTCGATAAAACGCTTTTGTCCACGCGTGTACGTGCAGACGTTTGTGTAGACGTAGAAACCTGTTGCATGTCGCGCATAAACGGGAGAGTTTACGCATCAGCCTTCCAGCATCCTGAATTATTCCGACTTTTATCTCAAGCGCGACCCACGATTTTTCAAACGCCGATAGAATTTATTGCACTCGTCGTTTGCTCCACTTGCGACGCGTACGTACCCTATCAATGAAATTATATCGGCTCCCGGAATTGCTACCGGCACGGAACGCATTCGAACATCGATCTCGTTATCATCGGTGATATTTATTTACAGCTTCCCGTGCCGCGACTTTGCGTACCTAAAACTCGAGCACCGCGTTTAAAATAACTATTTTACGGGATAAAGTTACACGCGGGGATCGTGCGCTTGTAAACAGGCAGAGATGCACGGCTAGCTACGATATTTTTACGTGCATTTATACGCGATGTCGCCGAGCGAATGACACGATTCAACGGCAGATGATTCTACGAGTAAAAATAAATCGGAAATGTAGAATGAAATTTTTCCCTTTGACGCTTCGTTTTCGCCTGAACGAGCTTGAAAGTTCACGCGGTGCAAGTGCATTCGGTCAACCCGCGCGCGTCCACCGCGACAATTTCGAACTTAATTTCCTGGAGAACGAGGCTTCGAACGAGAAATCTTTATTCTTCCTTTTCGACTTATTTTTTCGCGTAGAATAACCTCCTGCCGTTTTTGAACCCGAAACACCCAGTATATCGGTGACATTTTGCCGGCGTATCGCGGCACGTGTCATATTTTTCACGCGTTTGTTATTTTCAACGGTTGTTCACGCGGACAATGACGCGTAGAGTAGGTTCCTTTCTCTGAATTATAATAGGCGCAGTTGAACGCGAGTTTCTTTCATGCTGCGAACTTGCGTACATGTGTATATACACACGCGTGTATCGTAATTACATCAGGAAACGATACAATGACGGTTCACTGTTACGCAAATTATAAGAGAGATCGTAACACGTTCGTGAACAGAAGCTTTCGAATAATTTGCATTGTCTTTACGCAGCAAACCATAAAGACGGAGTAACGGTGCACCGTTTGGGCGCTGCTCGCCGGATCGCAAACAGATTCAGCTCCGTGACACGCATTCGGTCGCGATATTTTTCTAAAACCATGCAAATAATATCGATGACGAATAACGCGTGGGCAGAGCTCGCCTGCAATCATCGATCCATATACACGTATAAAGAATTCGTGTCACGGTCTATCTGTAATCCATTATCCCTTTCTCCATCCGCAGCTTCGTAAATCATCTTCCGCGCTTAGTGCTTCGTACCCCAAGAACTCGCGACGTGCATCTACCATTCCTTTCTCCATATGCAACTTTGTAGCATGCATGGATCATTCTCAATTCTCAATCATGGCGATCTTGTCATGTGAGCATATCGCAAAACTCAGTTTCGAGTGTCAAGCGTCAGCGATTCCGGTAACCCGGTACGATCGATACGATTGTTGGAAATTTTCTCGATCGCATTGAACATGGTTGATTCGTTGATCGGTAAGCACAGAGCAGCTCGCCAAGATGAATTAAGCCCGGCGTGTCATTTACATTTCAATTCCTCGGCCGCTCACGTGTCGCGTCGTGGATGAACGGCTCGATAATGGCGCGCAGAGGGAGAAGAAGAGGAGAAACGTATAAAATCGGAGTAACCAGTTTAACGGCATTCGTTATCGCCCACGACACAACGCGCATACGTGGCCGTGTGCGTACGCGAGGAGAAAAAGCACCGATTCGACTTGGGTCCGCCACCCCTGGTGCTCGCGATCGTCAGGCGAAGATAGCGATCGGTTTGGCGGCAGTTGGCGTAGATGGAGAGATAGCGAGAGCTGGCCGGAGGCGTTATGTCGAGCAGGCCTTAATTTAATAACCACCCCTTTTGCTTTGGCCCTTTGTTGCAGAGGAGGACAACACCTCGAGCAACTACGGCGTCGATCTGGCGGACGAGGACGCGAGATTCGAGGACGCCGAATCCCTGTCGTACAACGGGCAGACGCATCGTTCTTTGGCGTTGTCGTAGCGCGCGATCGATCGATCGATCGGTCGATCCTGTTCGCCGAGGCGACACGAGTCGTAGATTTCTCCACGGTGCCCGCTCGAAGGAACCACCACCTCGGATAGATGAAACGTGTCGTGTCGTGGTACGTGTCCGGATCACCGTATACCGATCTACCAATCGGATCCAGCTGTGGGATAACGTTTGCGACCAACGTGCCAAGATTCGTGGATCGCGGCGAGTCGGATCGATCGCGACACCAAGATCCCGTCGTTCGGGAAATGTCACGGGAGGTTTCGCGTTTCGTGCGAACTTCCGGCCCCGACTTCCGGGGAACGACGCGGCCCAGACACGTTACCGCTTCCTCTTTCGGTGGGCATACACCAGAGAGCGTGTACGCACTCGGATACGCCATTGAATCGTTGGAAGCACGAGTTGGCGAGATTCGTGCCGGATAATACGTAGATTAAGGGCAGATCAGTATTCATTTTCTCCGTTTTCGGGAGGATCTCGCAGGTTTCGCAGATTCGTTCGCGCACAGGCGAATTTCTTTCTTTCTTCCTTCTTCTTTTTTGCTCTTCGTTCCTTTCTTCTCTTCTCTTCTTCCTCTCTCTCTTTTTTTTCCTTTTTCTCTCTTTCAACTCGAAAGGAAGCGGAAAGCTGGCGAATCGAGACTAATTAACACTTTCGCGATCGAGGCACGCGATAACGCGTACACGCGCGACGCCGCGTGTCGCGTTTGCTACCGGTCGGGAGCCATTCACGCAGGTTTTGTATCTTATCGTTTCGGTGTACATATTTTCCCTTTCTTTTTTCCCATCTCTTCTTATTCCTCTTCTTCTTCTTCTTCTCCTTCTTCTTCTGCTTCTTCTTCTTCTTTGCGAATTTACGCAGCCGGCTGTAAGAAATTGATATCTCGCGAATTTCGGCAACGTTTTGCAGCCTTTGTTGGTTGCCTGGTTCCGAGCTGGCGTAGAGGCGTTGTTCAGAAAAGGGATTCTTAGAGGTAATGTCGAATAATGAACTCGATGAGCCGACGGTGGAGCGTCTCTTCTTGGCGTGTCGGGTAGAGCCCGTCGATGGGAGTCGAGCATAGATACTGTACGGATTATGCGAACTTGTAAATTGCTGTAAGTATTGTTTCGTCGTCTGCTTTCTTTCTTCTGCCTTTTTAGCGTTATTTTTATTCGAATCAGTTTTAATCGATAATGTACCACAGTGTTCTTTTGTATTAATTTATTATAATGTTAATTAATTTATTGTTCGAAATAATATGAATAAACGAAGTCTGATTGGAGAATCGTGTTAAACTTCACATCACACCAGTTTCTGTTCTTTTCTGTTTCTTCTTCTTCTTCTTCTTCTTACTTTGACAGGATAACGTGTGTGCACGGTGTAACGTGAACTTGCATATACACGATATACACGGAAGAGAGTAAGCTTATATTTTATCCTATTTTTATTCGTCTGCGTTCCTCGGTACGATAATTTTGCTTAACCTCTTCGGGGATGGATTTAATTTAATTGAGGAAAAGGAATTCCGTTATATCTATTTCTCGAATATTTAAAATATCGGGAAATATTTTTAAATATCCGAGAACGATAATATACAGATAAACACGTACTGTAGTTCGTGGAGGAAGGAATTAAAATTTGTTAATACACGTTCGAATTTAGATTAAATATTAAAAATGAATAACGAACGACTACGTCAAAGTGGTTAATTCGAAGCAGAATTAATTATCAGAAGAAAATTAATTAAATTGAGGAAACAGAATTTCGTTGTATCTATTTCTCGAATATTTAAAATATCGGAAAATATTTTTAAACATCCAAGAACGATAGTGTACACATAGACGCGTACTATAGTTCGTGGGGGAAGGAATTAAAATTTGTTAATACACGTTCGAATTTAGATTAAATATTAAAAATGAATAACGAACGACTACGTCAAAGTGGTTAATTCGAAGCAGAATTAATTATCAGAAGAAAATTAATTAAATTGAGGAAACAGAATTTCGTTGTATCTATTTCTCGAATATTTAAAATATCGGAAAATATTTTTAAATATCCAAGAACGATAGTGTACACATAGACACGTACTATAGTTCGTGGGGGAAGGAATTAAAATTTGTTAATACACGTTCGAATTTAGATTAAATATTAAAAATGAATAACGAACGACTACGTCAAAGTGGTTAATTCGAAGCAGAATTAATTATCAGAAGAAAATTAATTACATTGAGGAAAGAGTATGCCGTTCTATCTATTTCTCGAATATTTAAAATATCGGAAAATATTTTTAAATATCCGAGAACGATAATATACACATAGACACGTACTATAGTTCGAAAGTTTGGTATCACTCGTCTGACGAAGGAATTAAAACTTGTTAATCCACGTTCGAATTTGTATTAAATATTAAAAATGAATAACGAACGACTACGTGAAAGTGGTTAATCCGAAGCAGAATTAATTATCAGAAGAAAATTAATTAAATTGAGGAAACAGAATTTCGTTGTATCTATTTCTCGAATATTTAAAATATCGGAAAATATTTTTAAACATCCAAGAACGATAGTGTACACATAGACGCGTACTATAGTTCGTGGGGGAAGGAATTAAAATTTGTTAATACACGTTCGAATTTAGATTAAATATTAAAAATGAATAACGAACGACTACGTCAAAGTGGTTAATTCGAAGCAGAATTAATTATCAGAAGAAAATTAATTAAATTGAGGAAACAGAATTTCGTTGTATCTATTTCTCGAATATTTAAAATATCGGAAAATATTTTTAAATATCCAAGAACGATAGTGTACACATAGACACGTACTATAGTTCGTGGGGGAAGGAATTAAAATTTGTTAATACACGTTCGAATTTAGATTAAATATTAAAAATGAATAACGAACGACTACGTCAAAGTGGTTAATTCGAAGCAGAATTAATTATCAGAAGAAAATTAATTA